CATGCAGTCTGGATTTCTTTAGCTTGCCTGTAAGAATGTTGTGGGAAACCATATCAGAAGTCTTGCTAAAATCAAGGTATACCACATCCAAAGATTTCCCCGATTCATCGTGCTTATTGTCAGTGTGACACTACCAATTTCTTGTACAGAATATTTCCCCACTTAGATTCATTTTAATTTCAAGTAAAACAATAAACTAAGTTGTTTTTCCTATAAATAAATGATTTGACATGGTAGTTTATCTGCACCAAGATTTTATGATAGCTCAATATATTTATTTTTCTCTCACATTAAGGGCTGACCTCAATGAAATTCTGATCCCCTTAACATTAGTGGTAAAACTCTCATTAACTTCAATATAGAAAGCATGTCACCCAATGATTATTGCTTATTTAGCTCTCCAGGAGTCCAATCTTGTAAACTATAAACACACACAGCAAGAAAAATGAAATATTTGCAAGATTAGGTTCTAATATAATGCAAGTAATAAATGGCACATCCCTCTGGTGGTAAAACAGAAAATTGCATGTTAAAAGTCACTGCATTACATACCAACTCTTAAGTCAAAGACCTGGTCCCAGGACCTCAGCTAAAATACTTAATTGGAACAAGTATTGCATTTTTTTGCCTCTTTTCAATCCAGTATTTACATATTATATTAAATGTTAGTGGTATTTTGGATGCATTTCTCTCAGATCCGCTAATATAAAACACCCCAGGAATGACAGTAGTAATCAAAATGGCCATGAGAAGTTTGTATTGCTGCTTCCTCTGCTGTATCTGTCCTGTGAAAAAGTATGAAAGATTCTCAGTTGTATCATTTTGGCACCTTTTGCCAGTACTTGATTCAATACATACAACTGTCTAATCAAAATATAGTCATTTTATTCTCCAGAAGCAAAGTATCCCAGCATATAAGACACTTCAAAACAATTCAACTGAGATAAAGAAGGCATGTGCTAGAAATGGTATTTAACCAAATCAATGGGTACAGAAATGTATCAACTAGAACTCTTAAAGGCCATTTCAATAATAAACCGCTTCAGTCCTTCATTGATAATTTTAACAGTTCTAGTCCTGAACACATTCCTCTCTTCAATTAATTTTTCAAAGAGATGGACTCCACCTCCAACTCCAAAATAATGTGCTTTGCTAGCCAGGTACACACAGCCATTTTTAGACAGTAGCTTAGAAAGGGTATTGTGCAAAGCACTATAGTAATCAGGGTTGTAAATAGTCTCTGATGTGAGAATGATATCATACTTTGAAATAAGTTTCCCGTCACTTGATAGGAGTTGACTGAACTCAGACCATTCCCCAGAAAAAAATTTGCACTTTGAGAGCAGACCAGGTGAACAATCTGCTTTCTTGAGCCTTTTTGAAGTAGGTTCACCAGCTCCTCTGTTACCATCATCACTGCCATTACCACCAGCACAATTAGCCACGACATTAGGCAAGGTTATTTCATCAATTACAATGCCATTGAAGTCCTGAAAATGGACTTTTTCTGCCTTTCCCTTTAAGGCCACTATTCCCAACAGTCCAGCCCCACAGCCAAGATCCAAAACTGTCTTATTGACAAATTGTATCTCAGCTGTTGACAAATAATCTATGAGGTCAAAAGTGCATTCCCAGATTTTCATTCCTCCCTCATAGACACCTGGGAGGAGATCAGAGTGAGAAGAAATACTTTTAGACACTATGTCTTCTCCATGGGAGCCATCTGAAAGGGTCATTTCCACTACAGAAATGTTTACATGATATAGCCCCGATAAGGCTTCCACAACTTTATTTTCTAACACTTTGTCAACATTGTCAGGAATATTATGCTCCCTGGCAACTTTACAGGACTGTTTCTTTGATAGTGTCTCATTCTGGTTTTCATCTTCAGCTGGCTCTGGGCAGCAGCTTGCTACAAGATCTGCAGTTTCTGGTGCTACCTTATATGCATGCAGAGATTCCTGTAATGTGGCATGTTCTTCTGATGACACTTCCTTGCTTTCTGTAGATCCTTTTTGGTTTCTCAAAGCATCCTGTGCAGAGCCCAGGAGTAAGTCTGTATCACCAAGAGCCTCTAGTTTGTTTTCTACATTTTCCTTGATAGAAAAGTTAAACTGAAATGCCATTTTTGTAAAGTCCAAGGAAAATAAAAAGACCACCTAGAAGTTAAAGTTAGAAAAGATAGATGCACTTGTCCAATGAAGGCGTTGATGTAAATGCGATGTTTCTTGTAATGTGTTGATAAAAACTTGTTCTGGGACTGTCCTAATGTGAAAGAAGGCTCCTGGCACTTAGTTATCACTAAGAGATCTTCTACATGCACAGTCCCATTTGCGCTGTAACTTCATCAGTTGAATTCTCTCTATACAAGAAAAGGATCTGTCAAAAATAGAATATCATGTTGTTAAACAACAAGATACTATGCCTGATCCAAGCCAGAGAGGCTGAGAAGCAGCCAAAGGATAACATAACTTGTAATCATCTCTTATCACCTTGTAACATCCCCTTCACCTAGATATTACCACCTTTTTCAGAGGACAAAACTAGATGAGGTCAAAGAATTTTTGAGAGACAAGAGCGCAAGTTTTTAAAATGGTTTAATCTTTAGCTTTAGTCACAGCTTTCCTTCCTCGGATGTATGTATAAATCACTTGTCTATGAAAAACTAAGATCTCAGATTTGGCCGTCCGACAAGAAAATGTCAGATTTTTCACATTTCAAATCGTCTACGTACATTAAAATATTGTTTGTGTTGTATTAAAAATGCTGTTTGCCTGTAGCATTTCTTGGCATCTCATTTGCTCTGACTTGGACAACTACCATTTTAGGGTTTCTCATCTGTGTTTTCTTAGTGACTGTGACTCTCATTTGGAACCAGCAGATTGGTTGGTCGTGTCCTCCTCGCCTTAATAACACCACCATCAGTCTGACACGGAAATTGAAAAACAAGAATGAATTAAAATGAGAGTAAACTTTTTAATTTCTAATATTGCTGAAGCCTAGATCCAACCAAACCAAACCAAACCACGTCTAGCTCATCACCACTGCCTGAAGTTGAACTCACGCTGTAAATCCCTAGCTCCACGCTTCATTTGACACTTGCTTAGACTCTCACAGGGTTCAAGCGGCTCTCTGTATCAGAAACACTACAGCCCTGTGAGTGTCATTAAGCCCGATGCCACATCATTAAGCACATCACACAGCGCGCGTGCATTTGCACTGAGCCCATCACCACACGCGTGCACGTGGGGCGCTGCACACGATGTGCACGCACGCTGACGAAGCACATTAAGCACAGGACATAGAGTCCAAGCACATTAAACCCGGTCCACCGTGCACACGCACGTTAATTAAACCCGGCCCACCACGGACATACATATTAAGTAAGCACGGCCCACGACGCCCGTATGAATTGCTCGCATACTGAGCACGGCCCGCGATGCGCACGAACTGCCTGCACGTCCACCAAGAGCAGCGCACGCGGACTGCCCTCCCGCTGAGCAAGCGCAGCGCCCGTGCGCGGGGCTGGGGCTAGCACCTGCGGGCACAGGCCGTGCAACGCTGCATGCAGCACTGGGATCAGCACCGTACCTAGACTCCTGGCAGTCACAGGCGAACTTTTAGTATTGGGCCCCGCTTTGCCAGAGGTAATGATAATAATTGGACAATGGGAAAAAAATCACCATTTTCAGGTCCCCTTTCTGTTCGGGCCCTGGGTGGCCACTTGGTTCACTCACGCCTGTGTGCAGCTCTGGCTGGGATCCTGTGTCAGGGTTGGACCTTTGGATCAGGAACCTGGACAGAACAGACATGAGCTCTCGGTTAGAAGAGACTCTTGTGTCTAATCTTTCTGAGTCAAATTGAAGTTATTCAGTCACTGCACAATGAACAACGACAATGTTCCAAATTACTAAAATGCCATTGGAATCTGGGATGTTGGTTGTAGCTGTGTTGGTCTAAGGGCATAGGCAGACAAGTTTCTTTGGGTAGATCTGATATCCTTTATTAGACCAACTAAACAGTTGGAAAAATTGTTCTTTGAAAGCTTTTGGGCACAAACACCCTTCTTCAGGCATAGACAGAGTCTGTGCGTGTGTGGATTCAGAAGTGTGTGTCCATGGCCCATAGTGTGGCAAGGGCTAGTACCCAGAAGTGTGTGTGCAGATGTGTTGGGATTCGGAAGCATCTGGGTGCTGGTCTGTTTCGTGCCCAGAGCCACGCAATAATCCGGGGACTCCATGGGGGTTGCGAGAGCTCAGATCTTTGTTAGAAGAGCCCTGTGCTCTGCTCTGTGCTGCTGTGCGCGCTCGGGGCCATAGCAAGAGGCGGGGATTTCTTAGGGTGAAATCTTTTATTGGGCTAACTGTATAGTTGGGGTGAAGTGAGATGAGTTTTCCAGTGTAAAACATCCCCCTCAGGTCTTTGATTATAGGAAGCTGGGCACAGCATAGGGGAGGGGGTGAGAGAAATCCCCAGGTGTAGCAGGTGCACAATTAGCAAAATAAACCAAGCTGAGTACTGGGAGATCAGGGCCTATCAAAAACAGGGATGGGGAGGGTCAGTCTCACCTTTCTCCTCTGGAAAGAATTCAGGAGTTGGATAAATTATATTGGACCATGTGAAATTTTCCCTGCACATGGTCCTCCTCACTCATCCCCACTACAACTTGTGCTTCAACCTGTGTGTGGAAACCTGCAGGTCATTACAGGCTCTGCCGAGATACAGATCACACAACACCCATGCACATATTGCCCACCGCTTATACATTTATCAGGGGAGGACAGCAGGGAATTGGGGATGTGCTGTTTACCAGAGCACCCCAGGGAGTAACCAGGAATACTAGTGCAAACTAGTGGAGAGTAGGTTAGACATTAGGAAGAATTTTTTTACAATAAGGGTGGCCAGAGTCTGGAATGGGCTTCCATGAGAGGTGGTGCTATCACCTAACTTGGAGGTCTTCAAGAGGAAGCTTGACAATCACCTGGCTGGGGTCATCTGACCTAGTTCCTCTTTCCTGCCAGGGGCAGGGGGTCAGACACGATGATCCATTGGGTCCCTTCTGACTCTACAATCTATGAATCTGTGAATAGTCACTCCCTCTTTTGCATGTGTACATGTGTGTTGGTAGTCAGAAATATGTGGGTACTTATGAGTTCGGTGTCTCTGCAGCCCTGGTTCTGATGACCTTCCCCAAATAGTGTTTGAGAGACAAGAGAATAAGCACGCAAGCAGGAAAAGTGCACTGCAAAAGAAAGATCTTCGTTCTGACACTGAGTTTATGAAGGAGAAGGGTGAATGTGATTTACAGTAAACAAATGCACTGGGTGTCTGATGATCTAGGTGCCAGATAGTAGGCAACTGCTCTAGTCTGAACGTGAAGCAGGCATTCAGCATTCTAAGATAAATTTTACTCTGTACGTGTGTGTGTGTGTGTGTGTGTGTCTGTGTGTGTGTGCGTGCGTGTTTGCACGCGTGTGCGGTTCATCTAGCAGTTAAAGTAACATTGGACAATTCCTTGGTCTGCATCCATGTATAAGTCATTATGTAGATCCCAAACTCCAAAGCGCTTAAGTGGTTACATATCTAACTATAAGAGTGATGCTATTGATTTTGGACATGCCTTGAAATATTTGCAGGTTGGGTGTAGTAATAAATTTTAGGATTAGATTGAACATTAATTTGTATTTGAGGCAAGGATTTCTTAGGGTGACATCTCGTACCGGACCAGCTACGTAGTTGGGATAATGTTAGACAAGCTTTTGAGTGCAAGACATTCTTTCTCAGGTCTCTGATCTGTATTTCAGAACATGTTTGAGTTCACTTTCTTTAACGCTTTTACTCTGTGTATCAAAGTTCTGATGACTGGACCGAGCATATTTGTAAGTAAGAGTTATGATAACTTTATTTAGAACTGTAGTGCTTGATCCCTATATGGCATTTCGTATTACAGTTATTGGATTATAGCTTCTGTGTTAGAAATACTACTTCTTTAGCATGCGTCTTTCTTGGTTTCTTAAGACAGTCTTCAACAGTTACAATGCTGAATGAGTTTCCGAAAAATTAAAAGGCTAGATGAGTGTGTTTGAATATGTGTAAGGTTTTGTTTTTCCATTCTACTATTGCTGACTGTTAGTTATTGATTTCACAGAAAAATTTTCTTCAACTGCTGTCTCATTTGTACAGTGATGTCAAACTTTGTCATGATCAGTAGTGATTCTAAATGCCCATGTACCACATTACGATAACAGAGAGAAGTTTTATAAGTGATTATTTAGACAGGCAGCAGTTTTGAGTTATTAATATTCCAGTAAAAGAAGAAAGAAAAAAGCAGATAAGATTAGCAGCTCTGTGTTTTTCTTTCCTCCATAGTTGGCTAAAACATACTATTGTTTTCTTTAAAAATGAATAGGCTATGATTACTCATGAGGTATTTTGTATACATTGAGAATTTCTGCTTGTAGTTTGTCAAGTGTAATTTCCTTTAACAGAGAGGTTACACAGAGCTGAGAGCAAAGCTTGGTGTATCATAAGGTCATTTTTAGGAACTGTTAGTGTTTCAAGTCATTAGTTAATTCAGTCTTATATCCTGAGGATAGTACTGTCCTCCACTAACAGATCCTTCTTGAGAAGGAAAAACTTCCTCTCATTCAAAGGCCTCTTCAGTTTTGCATTGCTGTAATGGTGGGGTTGGAATTTTCACAAGGAAAGAGGCTTGAAGTTTTTAATGAAAATTAGCTTAAACTGTGTTATAAGTCTGTGAAATCTGGACACTAGTCCTGGGCCAGTCATTTGCTTGCCATGAAGTTTTTAGCAGTTTTACTGGTATTCATAGTGAAGAGGCTGAGCTTTTGCCAACCTGGATGGTGAATGTGCAGTGATGTGATATGGTTTAAATCTTTAGTGTTTCCTCTTACACCAGGGGTGGGCAAAATGGCAGATCCAGCTGGCAGCCGGACTCCATTTCACAGTAGCCCCTGCCCATGTGGCACCTCACTGGTCTCCATGGAGACCCCAGGAGCATGGGGCCCTGACAGCGTGGGTCTGTAGAACCAGGGCTGTGTCCTGACCCCATACTCCTGGGGTTTCTATGAAGACCAGCCAGAGCCATGTCAGGAGTTGCTTCACAGCCAGTCAGGATCTTGAGGCAGTGACAACATGGGCCCCGGGCCATGGCAGAGCCATGATCTGCTACTTGCACACCCCCCGCCCATCTGCAGAACCTGCACTTGTTGCAGGGGCGTGCAGGCAGCAGATTGTGGCCCTACACTGTCACTGCCTCAAGATCCTTGTGTCTTCCCAGCCCTGCTTGCTTGCCCTGTTCCTGGTCACAGCCCCATCCCAGCTGCACACTCTGCCCACAAGGGTCCTGTCTCCGGTGGTGGCTACAAGGTAGATGGGCCGGGGTGCCTGGGCAGCAGGGCTGGGTCTGGCAGCAGCAGCCAGAAGGAGCTACCACTGCAAGGGCTGTTGGGAAATGGAGTCAGCTTATGGGCTGGCCTTTGCCCACCTCTGTTTTAGACAATGATTCTGTATACAGCTACATATATGCTTAGTCTTAGAACTGTCAGTGGTCTGTGATAAAACTACTTAGTAAGTAAGTTGAGTACATAAGCCCTTGTATACATGTTGGAGCCTTTTTTTATTGGTATCTAGATTTATTAAAGAATGTACAGATAGCAGTTGTCATTTTGCCACATGCATACAAGTAGACTACAGTATATGCATATATTTGTTGGATAAGTGTATAATTTGCTTACCTGCCTAACAGTGTCAGCCCCAGTTTTTTCCTTTTGATTACTTTGTATTAAACATGCACTATCTGCATATTGGTTAAGTGCATAAACTGCTTATGCGCCTTAGAGTTCTTCAGTTTCACTGTCTACTTTCTAATGTAATTGTTTTTCTTTACCTCTGTAATTGGTGAAACTGACATTGAGCAATTAATTTCAAGGCTTTAGCAGCCTTAACTGACTAGGTCCTTTTAGGCCTCTAATAAACAAGGTAAGGAGCCTTAATGATGAGGTATGAAAAGCTTAGGGCAGGCAATTTGTACATATTGGGCATGTCTACATGTGCATTAATGTGCTGTAATTACAGTGCATTAAGTTAGTAACTGTAATAACAGGTACTAACTTAATGTGCTGTATTTGGCACTACTGCGTAGTAGCGCCAGCACACATCTTTTAGGTGACACTAATATGCAATAGACTAATTCTAGTGCATTAGCATGGCTTGTGCCATGATGCACTAATGCACAGTAGAGTTAGTCTACTGCTCTTCTAGTGTCTCATGTAGATGCACCCACGGAGTATGAATGTATAGTTTTTATTTTTCCCTTTAAACATTTCTACATTTTTTGTGATGGGTAGATAACAATTTTGGTGTGTTTGATTGTTTTGTGGTATTCTTTTGTAATAGTCTGTCAATATTTTTGTTTTACAGGGGTGTTAAGAATCCTGACTGACATGTTTCTACCTCATATTGACCTTTCAGAGTTAGAGCAAACATTTTTCTCCAAAGTATTACCCAAGGTATGATGTCTTCTGTAGTGTAAGACATTTAACATTTAATACTGTGCTAAAAACTTGATTGGAAACTAGTTAAAATCTCCCTTTAACAGCTATAGGAGTTTGTATCATAGAATTTTCCTCTTGGGATCAGATGCATTTGAGACACATCCTTCTTTGTTTTAGAAAACTTGAATAATTTTCTGTTATGGGACCTACAGTGGTAAGAATTTTGCCCTTAGTTTCTTGAGAAGATTAAGCTCTTGGTATTTATTTTGTGGTATATGTTCAGTAGCATTATTAATGTTTAAAATCTATTTTAATGTTTTGATTAATTTTTAATTAATCTATAAAATCTATGTTGAAAAACTTTGAACTTTATAAAAATAGCTGATAACAAATACAGTGTTACATTAACAGTTTATTACACCCCAAGGAATTATGCACAGAAAAATTCAAAATGTGCAGGAAAACTCAAAATTATGCAAAATGAATTACTTTTATATATTTGTTTATTTTACAAATTAAATATAACACTATTCAAACCTTCTTTAGAAATATATGTAGGTGCTTTGTATGGTTGGGGAGTGGGTGTAGGGATTTGTGGAATGATGTGGGGGGTATGGGTGTAGGGTTTGGGGGGGTTGTAAAGAGGTGTGTGGGGTTTGTGGGTGGGTATGGGTGCCTCCCCTCCACTGTACATTCTGCCTTCCCCCTCATGATGCACAGCCCCTGCTACTGGCACCTCATCAGCAGCAGACGGAGCCCCCAGCAGCACTTGCCTCTGGTTGAGTCCCAGGGGCTGTACTTGCTGGCATGGAGCCGGCCCAGCCTGTTGGCATGCACGTTCAGACTAGATCAGGCTGGCTCCATGCCAGCATGTGGGGCTCATGGCACTCCAGCTGGGAGCTGCATGCCATCCAGCTGGGTGGACTCTGTGTGTCTCCACGTGCAGCTTCCTGCTGGAGTGCTGAAAGTCTCATGTGGAGCCATGGAGCTGGCCTGATGGCACATGGCTCCTGGTCCATCTGTCATCGGGCTGAGCTGGTCAGCTCCATGTCTCTGTGTGGGACTTGTAGCACTCCAGCAGGAAGCCACATGTGGAGGAAAGCAGGAGCTGGCCTGGCCCAGTCCACTGCTAAACACTTAAAATATTTAAACGCTTCAAGGACAAGCATTAGAGAGACAAATTTGAATTTTGGAGCTATGCCATTATGAAGCTGGGAAGTTGAAAAGAGTAATTTTTTTTTTCTAGAGTAAAATGCCACTTTTTGAAAGTAACTGGCCTTCAAAGTCATTTGATTTAAACCAGGCTTTTTTTTTTTTTTAATTATCTTAGGATAGCATATACAATTTTTAATATTTATAAGTAAATTAATGTTGATATTTTTACGAAATCTGTGGCTGGGACAAAAGTGGGTTTGACAAGTCACTTGGGCAAGTCAGTTGTGTGTAATAACACAGAACATGTAGTATCTGCTTTCATCTTAAATAGAGGCAGTCTGGAGAAACCAGCAGTTCAATTGTGCAGTGTTCCATGTTTGTACCAAGGGGATACAAAGTCCTTCACTCAAAAAAAAATGCGGGTATACAATGACCTGTACTTTTAGTGCCTTCCTCTCTATTAGAGTGTGTGTGTGTGTATTTTTTTGTAATTTGCTTTGTTCTGACAGGCTATTCAATTATTTGATGACTTGATGTATGAATTAGCCAAGCAGGCAAAAGGATTAACAAGCCAGAATGCAGAATTACGCACAGTACTAAGGAATATTTTACAGGTAAGTATTGAAATGATCTGTTAGAAGAATGGTTGTGTGATGGCTTTTACCAAAAATATGCAAAAGTTTTTTGGAATGCTTATGTCAGCAACAGCTGAAAGGAAATCTCTGTTTTGGGTTTGTCCTAATGCAGCTAGTTTGGCTCTGTGAAATAGTAAGAACAGTACTCAGATATTTCTATTGGTAAAGCTTCTTCTCTGGAATAAGCTTTTCATATTTTCCTGGAGTGGGCAAACTGAACGTTGCCCATGGTGACTGTGCATTTGATTGACTTGTTTGGGAAGGAGACTGGACTGATGAGAAAAAAAGGGGGAAAATGCTTGACCGGGATGGGCAAAATGTGGAAAAGGTTGGGAAACACTGTTGTAGCCCATCCTGTAGCTCCCCCTGCCAGCTCCACTGCTGCTGCCAGCCCCTTCGCACCCGGAAGAGGCTGGTGCCTGCCCCCGAGCCTGTGGCAGGCAATGGCAGGGAGCTGCCCCCCTCCCTACCTCCCAGACAAGCTGCCCAAGGATCCATCCCATGCCTTCCCCTGGGTGGGCAGCCTCTGCCCCAGCCCCGTTCCCTCCCTCACCGTGGGGATCATGGTCTGCTGCCACCACGCCCCTTCCCTCCTACAGGCAGGGAGCTGCTCTTCAAGCTGCTGGGCTGCATTCTTAGCTGCGTACATGCTGTGGCTGTGCACATGAATGCAGCATTTATTGGTGACATTGGCTACACTGGCCAAAAAAAGCAGATTGATGATAATGTTAATTTTCCTTTTATCAGTGCTGATCCTATGTGGACCATTGTATTGGTGCACCTCTAGTCCCAGTGCTATCATTTGGCAAAGTAGGTTGTCGTCTAGGAAAGTTTACTCCTCTCTGCACCAGTTAATCTGTAAAATGCCACCCTGTCCTTCCTTCTGCATTACTGATAGTGTGAATCTTAAAATAATAACTGATAAACAGCAAATCATACACATTTTATAGTTTTCATGATGAGAATAAAACCTGTCAAAGGCTGTGGCATAAAACTGCTGCTGTTTTCAACAAAGCTTAATTTATTTTTATGCTCCCCTAATACTTTTCTATCTGCCAGTATTGTAAAAGTCAGCGAATAATGCAGCCAAATGCAGAAGGAAAGAGCTGGGGGGTTTTTTGGTTTGCATCTGCTTTTTCAATCATCTGCTGCAGTGTGCTTCCTCAGTTGGTGCCTCCATAGACTTTTGTTGTTGTACAATCTCACCTTCAGACCCTGGTGCAGCTGTTGGGAACTCTGACCAGTTGTGTACGGCACGTCTGTACTCTTGCGGAGTCTGTGCCCCTAGAGAGTATCCGTACCCTTCCCTCTTCCATTCTCTATGTGATCAAGAACATGTTCGTGCACTGCAAGGTAGGTGTCTGTCTTAGAAAGAGAAAAATGATCTATAACTAAAAGAGTTCAAAAAAATCTTTTAAGAGATACTATATTAAAAATGTTTCTGTGGCTTTTCAAGTCTTTTTAAACATTAGACCAACTATGCTAACTTCCCAAAAACAAATGTCAGCACTGCACACTCAGCCTGAGTGCTGGGAATCAAGCTGAGTTATTTCAGTCTCTTGCATCATTCTTCGTATATAATTTCTTCTAAAGCAATTAGGTCATCTCTGGCACCTGTGTGACCTTTTTCTTCTGTGGATTGGCAGAAATGAGAAATGATTTACGAAGATGTGAAGAGTACTGAATTTATAATTCATGCAAATTTCAGGCCAGAATTATATCTGAGATTTTAAGTATCTGATGTTATATGAAAAATAATGTGTACCAGCATCAGACTCGCAGCTTTATGTAGAATGAAACTTGTACTTGGAATTTTTCCCTTTTTAAGCAGTATGTGTAATGTAAGACTATCACAAGTCTGTAATAACTTCAGTTTCATCCTTAAGATAGGCTTCATTGCTTTCTACAGTCTTTAAATATTTTTGCAGCAATATTACATAGTGAGCTCTTTGTTTAAGGGCTCCTTCTCTAGTAAGCAGTCTCTCTGAAGAGACGTTTTTAAGTATGGGAAAACATATGCGATATTGTTTTATTTGTCATGAAGTACATTGTTAGATTTTGTTGGAAATCTGATTTTTGGAGTCGTGTTTAGAGGCTGCTCCAAAGCAAGCTAGGAAGACATTTACTAGATTTTGGATTAGGCCTTAGGTGGGTGGGGGGTGGGGATTTGTTTGGTGCATAGTAACTATGGATAGATTTAAAAATCTACAGATCTTGCTGGCCATATGAGTTGAAGTAGTTATTGGAAGGCCTTGGTTCTGCTTCCAAAGAAGCTTATTATAAAATGTCTATTGACTTTAGCAGCAGCAAGACCAAACTTTGATTCCCAAACATTTTCTAATTCGTCCTCATCCCCCATTTCCTACAGAACAGTGAATCAGTGTACAACGGGTGCCTGCATTTGATATCTGACCTTCTCCAGTCTCTGTTTAAGGATACCTATTGTCTTCAAAAGCAGCTTATGGAACTGCTTGATATGATCTCTATGGAATCTGCTACCACGGAAGACAGTGTTGTAAATATGGTGTCAGGTGTGTATATGAAATTGTCAGTTCTACCCAGCTCCCTCTTCCCTACAGACAGGGGGCTGCCTGAACCTACAAGATGCAGAAATGCAAAACTCTAGAACTCTTGGTTCAGAGATGATACCTTTTATTATACAAGATGGAGAACACTTTCTGACTGGTATTGAATGTCCTCAATTTCTGTTGCTCTCTGTTGGAGCTTAAGGTGCCCAGCAATTCAAAGGCCATGAGTGATGTACATTAGAGCATTTTATACTTCTTCCTGAAACTCAGTTATGTATGAGATGGGTTGAGCTGTTGACATGATGTGTATCCCTCCCTACCTGCTCATTAAATGGTTTTCCTGGATTGGTGAAAGTGTTTAACTTTGTAAAATTCAGTGAGTTGTGCCAGCTGTGATTTTGCCTCAGGGGAGTAGACTAGATCTTAAGTCTATATGTCCATGTTTAACTTGCTGTTTGCATTAATTTACTGTTCCCTCTAGTGATCCACACTGTACTGGAGATCTGTTCTGTCATTTCCAATATGGACCATGCTCTTCATGCCAACACATGGAAGTTCATAATCAAGTATGTTTTAAGGCTTTGAATTGTCAAACTTGATGACATACTTTTGACAGTTATGTATCTGATCCTATTCCTGTCTGTCTATTAGGCAAAGCCTCAAGCATCATTCCTTACTGCAGAGCCATTTGAAACACACTGACATCCTCAATAGCCTGTGCAAGGATACCCTCTTCTCTTTCCATTCCAGTTTGCAACTTGCTGAACAAATGAAGCTTTCAGAGGTGCAGGTGAATGAAATATGATCTGAAATTGCCCTAGGGTTTGAGAAGGACAGAGTTGGGTAAAAAAAACGTTGCAGAAAGCTACAATGGATGCATTTTCTGTGCAGTGGTGTTGATTGCCAACATATTTATATAGCAGGCACATCATATGGCTGATGTGGCTTGCAGGAGAATCACTTGGAATATGAGGCTAATAACACTGGATGGCACTCAGGATGCTTTAGGCAGGCACTACAAATAACTCCTCTACAACGCTATGCCAGGAATTTTGCCTGCTTTGTATACTGAGAGTTCCATAAAGTTGGTCAAAAGATAACAGCTAATATATGGAGATTCCCATAAAATGGTTCTGAGAAGGGTGTCAAATATTCCTATTTTTGCTGTGTTTGTGCAGAATCCAGGCTTCCTTTTAAAGAAGAAAATACAGTTTCAAATCCTTTTAGCAATGTATCAACATTCTTTGATGCTTTTTTATTCTGTTATGTTTCACTACTACTTTTCTTTTGGATAGGAGGACATAGACCACAAGTTGTTCCAGAGGACGGTTAAACTGTGTAGATTTTTTGCTAATTCCCTTGTACACTACACCAAGGTATGCTCTATTTATTTGGATTCTACTTGAATGTCAAATTAAGGCTGTACTATGTAAATTAAAATGCTGATTGCATATTTTACTATCTAATATTATACCACGCCTTAGAGTCTGCCCTGAATTAAGTCATGGTAACATCTTCCTTGAAAATTTAAACAGTTCACTCTGTTGTTGCTGATTTTTTTTCCCCTAATAATTGAAATGCATTCATAGTCCCTCCTTCAGCTTCCCAGGGCTGGTGTTTGGTTATAGATTATTGGCTGTTTCCAGTGTAAAGTTCACAGCTGCAGGAAGCGGTTCCACCCAGGAGATTGGTGATTTTATTAGAGCCATTAATAGCTCTTGCATTACCTTCAGCTGAGCTTGTTGGCTTGCTGAGTAGCCATTGTGAGCTTTTATCATGGGGAAGAGCATTTTAACATTATAAGCAGCATGACCTATTGGACTGTACGTCTGAGAATAAGGGGCTTCTGCATTCTGGTTCCACCCTGACAGTGACTGTGGCCTTGGTCAAGTCACTTAACTGCTGTGTTTTTGTTTCCTCAACCAGAAGATGAGACTGCTGATTTGTATATGAAAATGACAAGTGTGAAGACTGGTGACCTCCAGAGTTTTGATCTATTTGGATAGTTACACTTTGTGACACTTACCTACACACTGGCAACTATGCGTTATCCCCAGCACTAGTTGGGCTTCTCTTCCGCAGCAGGAGATTAAGGACATACCTAAAGTTCCCAACTCCCCTCAATATATTTTCTTTAAACAGTTGGGTAATTGAGTATGGAGTAGCCAGGAAAACCGTTCTATAAACCCTTTCACAAACTCTGTCTAGCACCATACAGCAGTGTAATGTGAGAGATGGGCATCTTTTACCTGTGGAGTGGCTTAATGAAAATTGTTTTCTAGGCCTTTTTGAAAGTGTTTAAAGTCATCTCTGGCCATGCAAGAGTTCTGGAGTTTAAATTTAAACAGGACAAAATCGTCCCCTCATAAATCAAATTGGAGCAGAAATATTCCTCAAAACTTCAGAGAAAATTGATCTTTCCAATCAAAGAAAAACCCAAATTCTGCTGGGTTTTTCTACAAAATCATATAGTTTACCAAGATCTAATAACCATATCACCTTTCTATTTGCTTGTAATTTCTTTCCAGTGTCCTTTCCTTTCTGTATCTCCTGTTCTCTACACACACCTTATTTTTTCCTCTGATATTGCTGTTTAACTTTTTCAGGGTCATTTAAGCAACACACTAAATTGCAGTAACAATCACAAAATTGATAGTTTGGTTTGTACAAAGGTTTTCTACTATAGAGTGGCAAATACCTTTTTGTTTGTGGCAGAGAATGTGTGTCCTTACAATAGGATAAAATAGTATTGGACTATGCAAGGAAGTCACTTCTGTGTGGATCTGTAATTTTAACTTATTAAAAGGAAGTTTAAGAAAACAATAAACATAAATTTAGCTGCGTAAAAGAATCCAATGTAGTTCTGCATTAGGAATACTTTGTCATATGTTGATGTACTTTGTGCTCTCTTTGCATTTATGGTCAGATTCTACTTCACCTATTAGGCATATAAATGAACCTAGGTACATAAATGCAATCTACATTTGCAACACACCATCATTTGGCTCATGATTGAGTCTCAAAAAAGCAGCATGGAGGAGGAAGGCCCACCTACCTTTTATATCAACAGTTTTTCAGAGACTCAGGGTGAATAGTCCTACTTAGACACCTAAGTCCAGGTACACACTTAAAGTTGTCTATCCAGTTGTTTGGATAGTGGCTTTTAAAAATTGTAGTCTTCTGTGATGCACCCTAAACTTTGCAATAAAATGTTTTACAAATAAATAAGTGAAAGTGCAAGGAAGATGCATTTAAACTGTATATTTTGTATTGAAAATAATACTCAAGATTAACTTTTGCAGGAATTTATTCCCTTCCTCTGTGGTTCCTGCTGTCAGTTACACCAGCTGTATCTTCAGATATATAGGTAAGTGAAGCACAAAACGTCCCTGTATCAAATCTGGAAGTACCTGAATTGATTATGGAAGCTGCAGAGTTTTTAAGTCTTTAACAATAAAAGATTTCAGCAAGTGTTTGCTTCTAGGTTGTTGTTCTCTTTTCTGGTCTATAGAGGTCAGACAAATTTGTCCATATAGCTCCATGTGGACACTGGGATCTGCCCAGGTTGGTCCATTTGGAGGAATGAGTCCCCAGCAATGGACTTTCCTGCAGCTCCTTATTTCTGCAATGAAATAATTAGCCAAAGAGTTTAAACACTTTAAGTGCAAAAAAAATCACAACTGATATACTGTATTATGGCTAAATTAAAGCCTGTTAAGTCTTGCAAATAGGGTTGCTGTCCCACAATAATCCTACTTCTGCATTGTTTGGTGTTTGTCAGAGTTTGTCACTGGATAATAGGACATGCTGTAGAACATGTGCACAAGTTATAATGCAAAAATAAACCACTTTTATTTTCCTCAGAGATAATTTTATGAAATTGTCCTTGCCTTGAGATCAAGCTTAAGAACATTGAGCCTGTAGAGGCTCTAATTGGGAGTTAAAAAGGGCTTGAAAATAAGTATTCTTTTTTTAAATCCTTTCTTAAGCTATAGTACTGTTTGTTATTCAGTCTCATGAAATTAGGTCATGCTGGTTAGTAGGCCTGTGCAAAGTGACTAGTATTTGCTTTGGATTCAGCTGATTCAGGGGACAGTGATTTGATTGGGTGATTCGAATCACTGTCTCGAATCAATTCGGCCGAATCTGATTCAGACAGGCCCCATCCCATGCCCGCTCTTGCAGCCCTATCAATGGCTGTCCTGCCCAGCCCCAGTGTTCCAGCTCTTCAAAAGAAAAAAAAAAAAAGCCCTGCCAGGCAGGGGGTGATCCCTGTTGCACCCCACTGCTCCGCGCTTGATTGGGGGGGGGGGCTCTGCCACGAGTCCCCAGAAGCCCTGACAGCC